CAGGCGCCCGCCACAATGCCCAGCTATTTTTTGGTTGCAGCCATCATTGTTGTTTGGTGGAACCAGGCTGGATTTGAACCCGCCACCTTAGGTGTATGTGGCTGGCACCTTAGCCACTTGCGCCACAGGTGCCGAACCTGAAAAATGTTTCTTAAAAATACTTTTCTCTTGCTAATGCTTGTCTTGTTAGGGAGAAGATTTCTCATACTCCTTATCTCACCATTCCAGTAGAAATCCTCTACCTCTATATTTTACTATCACATTTAAATTGTTCCTTCTGAAAAGTGATTATATACAGTTAAAATTTAAATCTACTTACAAGGAATACTTTAAAGTGTCGTCTAATTCCATGATAGCAGCCTGGTTGCCACAACGATAACAGTAATTGGGTGCACTGAAAATTGTAACCACATTCCGATCATGACACCAATTGTACCCCTGGCAGCATTAAAACAAAAGAAAACAAAACAACATTTCATTATAAAATTATAGTCTTCATCTAGATAAGTAAAAATAAAACCCCCCACTACACCCCCAAGTTTAAGTATTCACTGTGGAAATGTAGTTACCTGTACTACCTTATCAGGTCTCCATCTATCAAGTTTGTGCACCCGTACCAAACACTGTACCACTCTGGGCTCAGGGTTCCATTATATGGAGTTTAGTAACTGTGTTGTTTTTTTTTATCTATGCTGAGATTTTGGCTAGGTATGTATTGAAATTTCTCCCATAATAATAATAATAGTAAATTTCTTAATTTTCCCTCATAAATTGTGCCAATTTTTGCTTTATATATTTTGAAGCTATTACTAGGTAAATACAAATTTAGAAGACTTTCTTTCTGGAGAAGTGGGCCAGTTTTCATCAGTAATGACATCTACTTATTTATTTATTTTTGTTGTTGCAGTTTTGGCCGGGGCTGGGTTTGAACACACCACCCTTGGTATATGGGACTGGCGCCCTCCTCCCTGAGCCACAGGCACTGCCCTATTTATTTTTTAAGACAAAGTGTCTTAACTTTGTTGCCCTTGGTAGAATGCCATGGCATCATAGCTCACAGCAACCTCAAACTCTTGGGGTAAGCGATTCTCTTGCCTCGGCCTCCCAAGTAGCTGGGACTAAAGGCGCCCACCACAATGCCTGGCTATTTTTTGGTTATAGTTGTCACTGTTATTTGGCAGGCTTGGGCTGGATTTAAACTTGCCAGCTGGTGTACGTGGCTGGTGCCCTAGCAGCTGAGCTACGGTCACCGAGCCATGACTTCTATTTTTAATGATTCCATTTATCTCATTCTGATTCATATTAGCTGTATCTGGGATAATTACCTACTTGATGTACATATACCATTTTTCATTCCTTACTTCTAGCTGTGGTATCATTATGTTTTAAGTATATCCAAAATAATAGCTGACTTTTGATTATTTATCCAATCTGAAAACCTCAGTCTTTCAAGCAAGTAAACATTTTAGATCATTTCTGTTTCTTGTGATTACAAATAGAGATTTATTTTCACAGTATGAACTGGTATTCTTTATTTATCATATTCCTACCCCTCTCCTTGCCTCCAATGGGCTGGTGAAGTTTTCTCCAATATCTTGAAGCTACTCCCTGCTGGTCTGGAGGGATTATCTTCTATTTACAGTTCCTTACTTGTTACAAAATGCTAATATTATGGTGGAGAAATCTGGCATACATCACCTTAACTAAGTGGTCAAAATTAACACTGCCAGCAGTGAGACAGATTTCCCAACCCCTTGGTAGGATGCACTGAGGGCACGGCGTCATTATGCGGTATGCCTGCCAGAAACGCACACCTTGAATCTACAATCATAAGCAACATCAGGCAAACCCAAAGCGAAGGATATATTTCTACAAAATAAAATGCTTCCACTCTTCGAAAATGTCAAGAGCCTGGAAACAAAAGAAAATCTCAGGAATGATTTTCATATCAAAGAAAAGCAATGTAACCCGATCCTGGATTAGATTATGTACATACAGCGTACACAAAATTAAACTGTGCTACATGAGACATCAGGGAGATAATTAGTGAAATTGGAATAAAGTGTGTAGGGTAGGTGACAGTACTGTATCAACGCAATGTGGTAACTATACTACGGTCATATAAGAGAATGTACTTAATTTGACAAAATACAAATGGAAATTTTCGAAGAGTGGAAGCATTTTATTTTGTATTAATCTGAAAAGGGGGAGGCAGAATGATAAAGCAAATACAGCAAAATATTTACATTCAGGGATTTGAAGGACACAGGGAACTTGGGGGTACTATTTTTACAACTTTTGAGTCTCAATTAATTTCAAAAATAAGTTCTAATTTTGCTCTGCCCACCATTCTTTTCCCTGCTTGCTAAAATCAGCAAGTCATACTCCCTGATGGGGAGGAATGTTTTTCCTATTCTAAGTCATGAAGCTTGATTACAGACATATATACTAACCAGAAATAAAGGTCATCCTCTAAGAAAAGTACATACCTCCATTACAAGCTGGTGAGCACGAGAAACCAGAGTGAGGCCATTGGCATGGTTAAATGTTTCAGAGATGTCTTGTCCAAATGTGTAGCCAGCACCACGTGGTGAAATACCCCACCCACCACGATCATCTGGATCTGACCATAAGAGATCACACATTGGGCCCTGGACAAGAAAAGTATAGGTTACAAAACGTTACTGGTCACATTAACTAATTTTTATATTTCTCATAATGTAGTTATAGTTTGTTTTCTTTTTTTTTTTTTTTT